ACACGGAAATTCTTTTCAACCACAGGTTTACACAGCTGGAGGTGCTCTAAATCACTGAGGACACAGATACAATAATTTCAGGATGACGGACTGTCTTTACGCTTCCTTCTCCATAATGATCTTCTCCTAAATTATTGGGCTTTCCCCTCCAAAAAAACAAAACAAAACAAAAAAACTTTATGTAAAACTTCCCTTTATTGGGGCGCCTGGGTGGCTCAGCCGTTAGGCGTCTGCCTTCGGTTCGGGTCCTGGTCGAGCCCCACATCGGGCTCCCTGCTCCGCGGGAAGCCTGCTTCTCCCTCTCCCACTCCCCCTGCTTGTGTTCCCTCTCTCGCTGTGTCTCTCTCTGTCAAATAAATAAATAAAATCTTAAAACACACACACACACACACACACACACACACACAAAACCCTTCCCTTTATTATTATATGATAAAGTCCTGCTTAAATTTAAAGGCTTAAGTTTGATTTTTACTTTGAATGTGTGGTTGAGCAGAACATTCCAAAGTCAAGCGGAATGAGAGACGGTTTTTCCTCGTGCGGGACAGTAACGCGCCTTTCCTGCCAGCGCGCCTCCAAGTCCTCAGACTGCCTCCTGATGGTGGTCCCCACGAAAGACATCAGTTTTCAGAACGGCCCCTAGGGGGCGGCTGAGGACCAGTGCCCTAGGGCGGCCCGCCGGCGGCGGCCGCGAGGGGCGCCCGAGGTGCACAGATGCACCCCTCCGTCCTCTCTGCACAGCACTTTTAAGAGACTCCGCCGAACTCCAGCGAGGGCAGCTGGGAACGAAATAGAAGCCGAAGTACAAAAATAGTTGGTGCCCCCGCGCGGCAGCTCTGATCCCACGTCGCGAGGCCTGCGCGGGGCGGCGGGCTTGGCTCGCATGCAAGCTCCAGCGCTGGAGATGCCAGGCAGCATGCCGTAGGCTCCTTGCCCTTGAGGCCTCAGACCAGCTCCCCAGGGAGGGGACCCCTTCACAGCCCCAGGCCACCAGCACCGTCAAGCCCGAGGGGCACTTTCTCATTCTTGCACCGCAGAGCAGGAGCTCAGAAAGTTCTTTCTAGATGAAGGAATGGTCAAACCTTACCAGTCAGCTCTGGCTTCTGATCTGAAGACACACCACGCCTTCTGATCACTGACAACAAAAATCACCTCTCTCTGCAGCGAGACCCGTTCTGCCCCTACTCACTAGGATGTGGTTTCATCCTTGGATTCATCTGATTAACCAGCCCCTTTGCCACCAGGCTTCTTGAGATATAACTGACACACCACCATGTGTGAGTTCAGGGTGACTGTGGGATGCTTTGATACATGTATATACTGCAAAATGATTACAATAAAGTCAGTTTGATTAACCAACTCTTCAACAATACCTACAGCATTCTCAGTAAGGCCCAGGACAATCTCAAGTACCTGTGCCCTCCGGGCTATCCAAAAGTTCTCTCAGAACAACAGCCAATCTTTCCTTATGAATGCAACCCCTTCCTCCCAGAACCCGGGGCTCATCCTTGACTCTCTCCTCTCCCTCTGTACCCTTATCCCCATTATTTCTTCTCTAAACTACTGAAACATCTCTCTCTTGGTCTCCTAACCTCCAATTTTCTCTTCCAATCCGTTCCCCCAAAACTGGATGTTCTAACTGAAATACAAACTCTGAAGCATCCACTCTCTCTCTCCTAGGATCCTTCAGTGGCTCCACACTGCCCTTAAGGTTATGGAACCTGGCCGCTTGTCCCACCTTCATTTCTCACCTGTCCATTTGCACCTTATGCTCCAACCACGTTCCTCCAACAGGCTATATTTCATCTCACCTCTATTCTCCCTTTGGCCATGAGTATTTTCTTCTTCTCCTCTCTTGGAAAAAAGAAAAAAGAAAAACTACTCCTTTTCATCATTGAGGCCTGAAACTTCATGTTAGTGCCATCAGAATCATCTTCCTGACACCTCTGACTGGGTTAGGCATCCTTGCTCTGTGCTCCGCAATTCACCCCCCAACAAATAATGATGGAACATCTGCTATGTGCCACTAGGTCCTGGGGATACAGCAATGAATAGGATTATAAAGTCTCTGGCCCTGGGGAGCTTATATTCGAGCGGGGATGGAAGACAGACAAAAAACAGATAATTTCAGGCGGCCATGAGAATTACGAAGCACAATAAAGGGTAGAGCGTGCTGGAGAGAGGGGGCGAGTAAGGAGTTTGGAGGAAAAGGTTGGTTGCCAGAGTCTCTGGGCCTTGGTGACCACAGTAATGAGTCTAAATTTTGTTCTAAGATGGAAATTCACTGGAGAGTTTGGTACAGGGAAGTGCCAAGATTAGATTTATATTTTCAAAATATCACTTTGGCTGCTGTGTAGAAATCAGACTGTGAGGGGCAGCTGCAAGACAGGGAAACCAGCCTCCTCCCCTCGTTCTCCGTCCCTTCTGTAGACTCTGTCTTCCTTCGGCATATGCAACACTCCTCTCCTCCAGTCAGACCCCTTCACGCTAATGCTGCTAACACAAGCTCACAGCCCTACAAGGCTTGTGTAGTTTGCCACGGCTGTAATGACCCCTACCAGTGCTTGCTTTGTCGGTGGGTAAGCCACGAGGGTAGGGACCAGTGCATCCTGGTGCCCCGCCCCATCCCCGGCCCCGCCCCACCCCGCCCTATTCCCCGGCCCCGCCCCACC